TCCAGACTCACAGGGTCACGCAGGGCATGATGCAGCTCGTCCTTGACGATACTTGCAATAGAACTCACCGTAGATAGTGGTGGTGTGGCAACCTTTTGCAGCTCCTCGCGTACCATAGAGCGGATAAGGTCGCGCAGACACTCGGTGTTGTTCGCAAAAGTCGTCAGAACTTGAGCAGTGAACGTGTTCACTTGCCGCTCATACAGGGTGGATCGATGCTGAAGCATCTTTTTCATCGTGACGGCTTCAGACAAAAACTCGGCGACCGTGCTCGGAGGGCTCCGTACAAGGCCAGCGAAAAGCTGCTCCTTAACTCCCCGCATCAGGTGACGCAACTTCTTTTCTTCTGTCATACTTGGATCGGCCCGTCGGAACAGGCGCGTCATATCTTCCACATAGGTCGTGACAGTTTCGTTGGGCATCTGGATGCGGGCCTGGATCGCTCGCTCCGCTCGTTCGTGGCGATCAGCACTTCTGTAAGTGTCCAACAGCCGGCGGCGGAATTCGGGCCACGATGTCATCTGTTCCTCGTGATTCATGTACCAGGTACGTGCTCCATCCTCCAAATAGAAGTACACACACTGTAGTTTGGCCGCGTCGTTCCAGTCGTTCAAAGCAGCCACGCGTTCGAAGTCGACCAACCGGTCCTCGACGTCTTCGAGCTCGGTGCCATGAAACGGTGTCGGAACCTGTGGACTTTCGAGGGTGTACCGAGTCACCGGGGGGTTTCCCGTTCCTGTTAAAGTGGTTTGAACGGACGTACTCATCATACTGGTGTGAATTGTAGGGTCAGCTTCGGGTGGCAATCCCCTGATCCTGCGGCTTGTCCGATGAGCGGGAGTGTGGACTCGCACTGGGCTTGTGGTGCCGCTTCCAGGAGGGGTCTTAAACATCCGTGAGGGGCTACCCCGCACCTCCACCAATTGTCACGTCGCTCCAGGGGGTGTCGACAAGGTTTATTGATGTTCGAACAACAGGGCTCTAACCAAGCGCGTCGGTTGGGCTTGTTTGCCAGAGCAGGGGTCCACGCGCACTTCTTTCTTCTCTGTGGTGTGAGCCTTCACCTTGGCATACGACACACTACTAGAAGTAGGTGGCAATATCTACCTTCATTATAACGAGGTTCCACTTAACAAGAAGCAGTGCGAGAAATGTATGTGGGCTTTACCGCTGCTCAACCGTGGTGCTGCTAATATGAAATCAAGTGCACATGCGTGTGCACTTGATTAGATGGCCTGGATATCGTTGTTGTATGAGATTCTAACTTCAACGACAGCGTGATAGCCTTGGAACGCGAAAATCTGGTTATAAAACCAGTACCTGAGGCCTTTTGCGGTCTCTCGCCCTTTTAATTTACAAAATAAACAATATGTCGTGCTTGTTGCATGTTGGTTTTGTTCCTACAAGTAATTCGCTATGCCCACGGTCTATAGGTGGGGCGCCGTGCAATTCAAGATGCAACGGAGGGATGATCAACTCGTGAATACGCATAAGAAAGGATAGGACCCACGAACGTACTTCATGTGCAGCTTTCACCGGATGAACTCTTGATCGTCAAATGAATGCATATCGGACCAAAGTACTTTCCCAACCGATAGGAACTGCTGAATGTTCACTACCTCATTTCTTATTGCAGTGCAAAGGGTGGTGGTGTCAGCTGATCGACCGTGTATCAAAAATGCTTTGCGTATTCCTGTGCATGGTACAGAAAACTGCGCGAACTAGAATTCACGTATGAACTGAACGGCACTTGAGATCGCTAGTGCCGAGCCTGTCTGCCAGATTTGTCACAGTAGTAGGCCACTAGCGAGTAGCGTGCCGTCGCGGCTGCACAGGATCGAATGTTTAACGTAACGACGGTTTACAAACATATTACACCGTCGTCATTACTTGCGCTGTAAGCATCATGGCCCATGCCATCTCGTTCTTATCAATTACTGCGCTTAAGCGTTTTTTGTCAGGCAAAGCATCATCATAATTGAGCTAGGTACAGATATGTTTAGTGTCTCATCCAAAAATTCAATAACTTTTACGGCTCAATCACGCGAGCTTTCGCCTTTGCTGTCCGTACGCCTTACATAGGCTTGGCGGGTTTTCGTCATCACTGATCTCCAGGCCACGAACGCAAACTTGTATCAATGACGCTGTTCTTGGACGGCCGATCTTCAGGTCTTTCACAAACTTCCACCGACAATATGCCAGATCGCAGGATGGGCCTAATCAGCGTTTCTTGCATTTCGGCAGTGGTTGCATGCAATCTAAGCTGCGGTTTGGTACAGAGTCAACGAAACTCTATGTGGTGGCTGCAATTGAAGGTAAGAGATAAATATCTCTGAGAGTGGCACGTATAGCACTCTAATGATGTTTCGCGGCTCGATTGCGATGTCTGGAAATCGAGTGCATGCCCGTGAAATCGAACAATTGGTATTTTTCAGAGCACTTAACTTCCCACATGATTTGACATACCGTATTTACTGCAATCTAGGCCGACTCCCTAAAGTCGAAAGCCCATAAAAAAAACTTACCGTATTTACTCGCATAATGAACACACACTTTTTTGCTAGAAAAATCAGAGCAAAGTTGGGGATGCATTTATTACACGGGGTAAATTTTATGAAAACTTTTTTAGGAGAAGCAAAATATGCAGTAATTAAAAAAAAAGCTAAGGTCACTTAGCCTTTCACAATTGACATACGCGTACACCGTTTGGAAACATCTTCTTTGTTGCGCTTTACTCATCTTCGGTGGTCGATGGTGCTATCTTCTGCAAGCTGTCCCTGCGTCGCCTGTGCACGCCATAAAAGCGTCTTGCAGATATTTTTTCTCACGATTGTTAAACTACAACAGTGGTGTCTGCTGTGATCTCGAGGAAGCGCCCGAGAGCGTGCACTACGATGCACTTTGCCAACTTCCTGGTAACCTCGCACGATGACTGCAACGATGCTGTTGGCATTGTAGCAAGTAATCAACATTGCAGCAAGCTACCCTCGAAGCATCAAAGCGAATCGCCGATAACAAGACTAACGACAAAATACGGCCGCCGCCTCTCTTCCACATAAGAAGTTCCTGCACGCGCAGAGAGCAAGCGAAGTGAGAATTGGGGGTGCTACCATGTTGTGGAAATCATCACGATCTTTTCTGGGCGACAAGCTATTTTCTCTGGTTTTCCAGAAACCTGTGACACGATAACGACCAATGAGCCTTGACCTTCGCGATGATGAATCCTCTCGTCGTCGCTCAAAAATCGCGTGCACGTGGTTGGGCTTTTTAAAACTGCCCACGTCGGTTGGCGCAGGCAGTTTAGTGACCTTTGCTCGTTGTGCACTTTATCAGCTGCAATGTCTCTATACTCGCATCATTCGTGAACTTTGCTGTGGCACACAGATAAGACGGGACGTGCCGCACACAGATAGAAAGCAGAACAATACGGCATGAGGCAACGAGCAAAAGGAGGGGGTGGCGAAGGAAGCGAGCCGAGGTGGGCCAGCAAAACAATAAGAAATGGAAGAGATCCAAGGGGTAAGAAGGCGCCAGTAGTCGGTTAGTGGGACTGCAGCAGATGAATGCAGGGGATGCATTTATTACGCGGAGGGAAAACAATCCTGACTGAAATTGTGGGTGTATTAATTATGCGAGTGTGTTCATTACGCGAGTAAATACGGTATCTCGAACGTAGGCCAAACGAAACAGCAAAGACAGCATTCACGAAGAGAAAAAATTTATTAGACATGAAGATGAAACAAAGCAGTTGGTTCATGATGCAAATACTAACTCGAGAAACATACCGCCTCTAGTCCTGTCATGTGTATTTATTTAATGTCGTTTTTTTTCGCGCTGCTTCTAGTCTGATGCCGTGCACATACCGAGTTGTCGTCTCTGCTTCCCTCGTCCCTGACTTCTTTGTTGCTGTCTTCAAACAGTGTGCAATTCTTGGTGCCATCAAGCGCACTGGATATGCTGCACTTCTTAAAAGACCACACAATCAAAATTTCAGGGTTGTCCTACACAACAGCCCTTTGAGTGGCGCACATTTTTTTCATCCGCTCAAGTCTCGCCTGGTTTGAACGTTGTACGACGACTCCGCAGCTAAGACCACTTTTCTTTTGTAAGCGCCACTGCGTGTTTGGCGCCATTGAGCTACCCCACATACAGACCACTCGAAGCACGACTCGAAATGACCAGCGACTCGCCTCAACACTTGCTACAAAGGTCAAATTGGTGGCTAGATGTTGACTTGGCTACTAATGGCTATAACACCATATAGGTGGCGCCATTTGTACACTACTTTTTTCCATGAATAATGGCATGTTTTTCGAAATCCAAGAATCTAAGCGGACTCTGGAGTTTGATGCAAAACAATTAGAAAAAAAAAACTGCTGGCCTAGATTCGAATAAATGCGGTAGTTTCCGTGCAATGTGCATAATCAACGCAGTCTGAGAAGCAGTCGGCAAATTTTCGCAATGGTGCTTCCTCTATTTGACCCCCCCCCCCCCTTTTCCGCGTTCATTTCAATGAAAACGGGGGTATCTGAACGTTAAATTTTTATAACATTTGGAAATTTAAATGGTCGTAAGTTCGATGCACCGCATGCTTCGATTCTCAGACCCACGAGGCTGCATATGCTCAACACGCTTTGCGTAAGTGCAGCCCTTAAAAAAGGTTGTTTAGGTTATTGTGCGGTACTTCTTATAGCGTGAATATTCACGACTTCCGCGAGTTAAGTTACAAGCGGTCTACGCTGTCAATTGGAAAGAGTACTGCCCCTTGGGAGTCACAGCTGCCATGCGTCTTTGTTTACTATTAACATCGTTTGAACTTGTGGTGAATGTCATGCGCATCGGCACAGATCTAACAAATGAACAAAGATGGAGGTGCACATACAATGCAACACTGGTGAAATATGCTCAACTTTTCACAGTTTCCCAAATTATGTCACAGAGGGCAGCAAGGCAAAAGCAAGCAAGGAAAATATCAGATGGAGAAACATCACAAGATTCACCTTGGAGGGTCCGAGGGAAGTCGATAAGAGCGTTTCTTGCCAAAGCGCTCCTGGGCCTTAATGAGAGGCCGCACAATGTGCTTCTTGTAGGGCCGATTGCCTGAACCAATCTCCAAACTTTGTTCTCGTCTGCAACAGACAAAGTCGTTGAATCAATCAATGACACCACAAAAGCACACAAACACAACACTGTAATACCCAACATGCACTGACTTTTAGAATGAATACTTGGCAAATAGCTCAGCTTTTTATTTATTTGTTTATTTATTTATTTATTGATACTGCGATCTTTTAAAAGATCATAGCAGGGGTGGTACAAAACATAAACATAAACATCAGTGGAAACAGGCAAACAAACAATCAAAAACAAATGTAATACAAACTTATGTAACTGATAGCTGCAGTGATTCTTCGAGACAAGAGAATCAACAAAAAGCAAGGTACAAACATAGATAACAATCATTTCTGCAGTGACTCTTCAAATGCAGACAATGTATTTAGGGTAACAACATCGTTATGTAGATTGTTCCAATCCACGATAGTCCTCAGAAAAAAAGAATATTTGAAACAATTTGTTCGTTGCATCAATGGAGAGATAGTAAGATTGTGTCTCTGTCTTGTTCCGTAACCCAACGAAAAGTGAACGATATGTGATGTGTCAACTGCATAGTGACCTTTTATTAACTGGAAAAGAAATTTTAAGCGCAATATTCGATTTTGGTCCGGGATGTTTGGAAATTTGCTTTTCAAGAGAAGTTCTGTGATTGAAGTAGGACCGTACGAGTTATAAGTGAACCTAACAACCTTTTTTTGCACCCTTTCAAGTTTTTGGATATCAGTCTGAGTGAACGGGTCCCATATGACCACAGCATACTCCAGTATAGGACGGATAATGGCATTGTAAGCGAGGAGACGAATGCTTGGTGTGGTTGATCTTTAACGCCTTAGGAAAAAAAGTTTACGGAGAGATTTAGCTACTACAAAATCTATGTGCTTTGACCAGGATAGATTTTTTGTAATCCAGAGACCAAGGTACTTGTATTGAGTTACTTCTGACAGAATTGTATTGTTGGTGGAGTACTGGAACAAAAGAGGGTCTTTTTTAAGGGTAATTCTCATAAAAACTGTTTTAGCGAAATTAACAGGCATCTGCCATTTGTCACACCACGAAATTACTTTTAGAAAGTTCCGATTTAGTTTAATTTGATCGTCAACTGAGGTGATCTTTTCATATAAGACACAGTCGTCGAGGTACAACCTAATGTGAACAAAAAGGTCAGTGACTATATCATTTATATTTAACAGAAAAAAAAAGAGGCCCAAGGACGGATCCTTGAGGAACGCCTGAGTTTACAAGAGCGTGTTTAGAAGATGCATTTTTTACCGTAACAAATTGACGCCTGTTTGTTAGATATGCTGTTATCCAGTCAAGGATCTTTTTGTTTTGTAGAATACAAGTTAATTTGTGAAGTAACTTAGCATGCGAAACTTTATCGAAGGCTTTTTGAAAATCCATAAATATGGCATCCGTCTGCTTCCCTTCGTTAATTGCTTGAGCAAAGTCATGCGTAAATTCCACTAATTGAGTATTCGTTGAAAAGCCCCGCCTGAACCCATGTTGAACATTTGTTAATACTTTATGAGAATTAAGGAAGGTAATTATATGTTTATGAATAATGTGTTCTAGAATTTTACATGATGATGATATGAGGGAAATCGGTCGGTAATTCGGAATAGATGACTTATCTCCCGCTTTGTGTAAAGGCTTAATTTTGGCGATCTTCCAGTCATCTGGAAGTTGGCCCTCATTCAACGAATGGGTATACACAATAAACAAATAGCGAGAACACCATTCTGCGTAGCGCTTCAAGAAGGCATTTGGAATGCCATCTGGCCCGGTTGATTTTTTTAACATCCAGATTCAGCAGTAAGTTTAATATGCCATTCTCGGAAATGACTAAGTCTGAAATAGGTGGAAGCGATATTGAAAAATCAGGAAGGATGCCGTTATCACAAGTAAAAACAGACTTGAAGTGGTTGTTGAAGGCGGAACAAACTATTTCTTCATTGCATGTTCTTTGGCCGCTTATCGTGAATGAGTCAATCGAGCGAGAAGTTGGCGTGATCAGCCTCCAAAATTTTTCGGGTGATGTTTTGATAAAAGTTGGAAGCGATGTTTCGTGGTATCTTTCCTTGTCGCGCGCAATTTGCAGTTTTAGTTCGCCCGACAGGTTAGCTATCAGCGGTGTATAAGCAGCTTTATCATGAGATTTCGCTCTTTTGCTTTTTATTCGTTTAAGTTTTCGCTGTAAATGTAGCGTTTCTCTTGTAATCCAGGGGTTCCGGCATTCAGTTTTTTTAACGATTTTCGGTATGAAACGCTCCACGCATTCAAAGACAATATCTTTAAAAGTAAGCCACAGATCATTCACACTGCTACCCGAGTGTTTAAAATCATCGTGATGAAAATCAAGGATATCCAGAATGGATTCATCGTCAGCTCGGGAAAAATTCGGAAAGGAAGTTTTTGTACAGCAGCGGTCAACACACATATCTAAAAAGTTAGCGAAACTGCCCTGTGATCCGAAATACCACTGATAACTTCACATATTGCCGTGTTTTGGATTGAGCCACTCAAAAAGAATAAGTCCAAGATAGATTTTGAACCATTTAGTTCTCTAGTGTATTCTTTAACAACCTGCAGTAAATCGAACGAAAAAACAATATCTAGCATTTCGTAATTAGCATTGCTAGTAGAATGAGAAGAAAAATTTTTGCAGTCGATATTAGGCAAGTTAAAATCTCCTGACAAGATGAGTTTGTCATGTGGCTTTATATTTTGCCGCAAGTAGGTTCTAAGCTTATCCAGAACACTATCAGAAGAGTTCGAGGGACGATAAACCGCACCTATAACATAACGAACTTTGCCTATATAGACTTTGCAAAATATGCCCTCAACTTCTAATATATCAGGCAATTGTTGCGGATGTAATGAGTTCTTGAAAAGTATCGCAACTCCTCCTCCTCTTCGGTCGCGGTCCTTGCGGAACACGTTATAGCCTTTTGGGACAAATTCGCTATCAAAAATTTCACTGCTTAACCACGTTTCAGTAAGTACGGCTACATCGGCATCGTGCGACAGTATGAGACCCTCAAGCTGGACTGATTTGTTGACAATGCTGCGGCAACTTACGTTTAAGATAATAAAAGGCGATTTCGTTTTGTTATGAAGTCATTCGGAATTTCCGGAAACCTTATAACGCTTGCCTTTTTTTTCGTCCCATCTGTATATTTTCTTGTGAATGCTTAGCTTATCAAAAATCATTTTGACCTTACTACCAGCTTCTCTTTCTTCTGCAGAACTCTGCCAGAGCTTTTTCCGAATTTCCCGCATTCTCTTAGAAAAATCTTCCGAGACCGAAAACGGGGTTCTTTTTAATTTTGGACACGACTTCAAAATCTTCACCTTGTCACGATAATCTAGGAGCTTAATTATAACCGGGCGAGCTTTCTCGTTCTTTTTGCCAAGTCTGTGGCATCTTTCGATACTGCTCACCGAGATTTTAAGCTTCTCTTCGAAAACATTCGTTTTTATCTTCTCGACAAGTTCTTCGGGTGTTTCAGACGGGTCTTCATCGATACCGTACAGAATCAAGTTATTTTTTCTACTCCTATTTTCTAAATCGTCAACCTTTCCCAAAAGATACGACACGTTTTTTTCTAGTCTCACTACAGCATCCTTTAGTGCACACATATCTGTTTTCAAAGCACTTATTGCAGACAGCTGAACTTCAAGGCCATTTAAACGCTCTGTAACTGACGTGATATCTGCCTCAAGTTTCGTTTGCTTACTCATAATTTCATTAATAGATGCTGTCATAGCAGTTTGACCAGAAAGAAGTTTAGCCAACATTTCCTTCTCGCCGGGGCCAGGGTTTGATTCAACGTCTCCGCAAATCAACAAGTTCTTAGCAAAAGTGCACACATCGAAATGTAAATTGAGAACACACAGTGGGCACGGCAGCAGAAACAAAAAGCGGTCATCGCTACGGTAACATTTGCCATAAGAATAGGGACTAACCTGCAGCGTACAAAGAAATGCACCAAGACCATTTGTATGTTGCTTATAGCTGCTACAAGAGACAAGTTTACGCCTTCAAACTGAATAGGATGTGGTTGTACAATGCATCAGTATTATGAATGCAACGAGCTTTTTCTTTATTTGATTGAAGAAAACTAAGCAGTGCTGGTTCATTTTAATGGCCTTGGACATGCAGACACAATAATTCACCAGTGGTTAATACAATGACCAGCGATCACAAGTCTTCTACAATGACGAGATTTAAAACCGAAATCCCCACGTAGTTTTGCATTCTTAAAACACATCCATTTTACATACCCCTGTGCAGTCATGCACAATGCGAGTTGCAACATGCTGTCTGTACCTGCTGCCAAGGGTAATAGTAAATGCATTGACAACACTGCACTCTGAGCAGTGAAATCCACAAACAGCTGATGTTTCGGCACGATGCTGCGCATAGAGTGGATTGTACCAATATGAAGCTAAAAGCGAGTGCCGATGCATCTGCTACTAATCGGATGTAATATCTACGGTTGAGCGTATCATTTGTATCAGTTTATCACAGTGAAATTAAGTACTGACATGCATCTTATATGTACCAGCTTATGTTTCCAATGCAGTTGAAGGAGGCTGGAAAAGACTTGCTTTTCTGTGCCGCATCATCAGCGCTGACATCATCAGCGCCGTCGCTTTTACAGTGGCGACTAGCTCGAACATGTGCACAAGTACAGCGAACTCGTTACGACTTCCACAGTTTGCGATACTAACAGCCAGATTTGACCAGATAAACTTGGCATTGCCTGCTGGCGAGCGCACTATGCTGTCCTCACTGTCCCACGCGAGAAAGACTCGCAATGGCTGCTGCGGCGCCTTTTGCTTGTTTTCCGCAAAATGAAGCTATTACACTCAAAACTCGTTATAACGAAGTTGAAGGGGAGCCACAATTATTTCATCGTATCCATTATTTCATCATATCCATTATTTCAATATATCGATTACAACAGTTTGTGGCAATGTATGCTCAGATGGGCGCACACCTATAAGCATG